AGAGGAGCACAGTAACTCTTACTGCGGGTATTTATATCGCTCAAGACAAATATCAAAGTTTTATTTTATTAAGAGTGTTACTTTAAATAAACAAAAAATCTAAAGGATTTCAAGCCACACAGACTCATTATTATAGTGTGGATAGCGTGCGCTTAACACATGGAAGTGTGGAATGAGCAGCTGCCTTTCAAAAATGTGACAGCATGACAGACTGATATGGTGAAGCCTGTCCTATCAATACAGTTTGATTTTTGTTTGATTTTTGTTTGAAAATATTTACCACCTAACTTCAGAAAACTGGCTTCCTAAAGTAGAAAATCAGTTATGCCATTTAATGCATGAAGAGACATTTAAACTTCCAGAGGCTGTGCAGAACCAACACATGATGGAGGAATATTAAACTCCTGTTTTCTTGCCTGGGTGACCAAGTGAAGCTACTCTTACCTTACCAGTGAAGTCTAAGAAATGCAGTGATTAGCCTCCCTTTACCTTTGTAATGCTGAGAAATATTTTAATCAAGTCACTTACAATGAAGGTTTGAGGTAACCAGGTCTGGAGAAAAATTTTCTAATGGTAAGCTTCATGTAGTATTTGCACGGTCTTAACAATGCAGTGCTACAGTGTGGGTTATGGTAGTATACCAAAATATAATTTAAATAATAGGGCTGCTTGTTTCCATTTCTGGCAGAAAAAAGGCATCACAAAGCTTCTTTCTTTGTGACTCATTCCATGTTGGTACCACATGCATGGAAGCCAAATGCTTGATACAAAAGTATTCTTCACTTGGACAAAATTTTGTCCCTTGCCTATGCAAAGTCAATGGTTTTAGGCTTTTTATAAAGATTGGTAGCTTCTAGGCAGATATTGGAAATTAAAGTTGAGAAGAAATAAAGCTGTCGTTGCCATCAGCAGAATTTAATCTGACTAGGTGGGATTTTCCGTTTGTGTTGGCAAACTGAAGCATTACATATTTGGACTGTTTATTCCGGTAACCTTAGCTAGCCTGAAGAACTGCAACATTACTCTTTTGATTAGCTCCATGCAAAAAGATCTTGCGAGATGGAAAGATCTCCTACTCTTTCTATATTTGGCAGGATCAACTCCGTAAAAATGTCCATTTTGCCACTCCTCTGATACCCCGCTGCAGCTGCTTCCTCCCCTCATCCCATGGTGAGATATTAAAAAGTCTGCATGGAACAATCTCCAAGTTTATCTGGAGGTACAAAAAAGCCAAGAATGCGTTTGTCAAGGTTACAAATATCTAGGGAACTCAGATAGTTTTTAGTCTAACTAGCTCTTCAAAATATAATAGAGGCCTGCCAGCTGAAAATTATTAACTGCTGCCTGATCTGGGATTTTGAGTGCACTCTACAGGAGAGGGAGCAAGCATTATATGTACCTATATTTCTGGAGTTCTTACAATACCATAATAGAGCCATCCTACCACCAGATGTGCTTATAATGCTCTCAAAGTGCACTCTTTATATCTAGGCAATTGAGGCACTTATTTAATGTCATCCTCCTGTCTTGTAACTCAGGTTTCCTTTTTAGGGAGTGATAGGATTGCTTCCTTCTCCTGAGCCATATGTTGTTAGGGGTTTTTTTCTTTTTTTTTTTTGTGTGAAATAGCCTTCCATGAGTCATTTATGTTTGAATTGATCTTGTAAGTTATTTCAAAAGTCAAATGAAGCCTTACTTTGATGACTGAAGAAAACTTTAATACCCTTATATAGCTTTTTAAATAATGTTAGACATATGTTTTTTTCTACAGCTTGTTTAAGTGCCAGAAAGGTAATTATGAAGTGTTAGTTGGTCAGTGCCTCTATTAATCTGTGGCGTATGGTAGAAATTATCACTATAGTCAAGAGGAAGATAGAGATTTTTTAAGTTAATAGGCTACATGATTTATCTCATATCTTAGGGAATAACTGAAAGTTGTAGATGACCCAACAATACTTTCCCCAGATAATTTTGTTGTTCTTCTTTATCTGAATAATGCACTTGTCTTTTTTTTTAAATCCTAACTAAAAAATAATGCTAAACAAATAATTCCATCAGGGGTTAGGTCTGCTCTCAAACCTATTTTCCAAGCAGATACTTTATTTCAACCAATAGCCCAATAGCCAATGCTACTATTTTCCCATTGTACTATCTCAAGGAAGTTTCAATTCTCTGTATGCAAATTCAGTGTTTCAGATCAAGAAATCTCCCAACACCAAGGGGTCTACAGCATGAGATCAAGGCTATCACTTGTGTGTTCACTTATTTCAAACAAAGAAACTACTACTACTTTCAAACAAAGGAACTATCCACTATTGCACTCTCTGCAATGCAGCTTTGGGGAAAAATAGTAAAGAAAAATGGTTCTGCAAAAAGCAATTTTCTAAAAATACTACCTCATGGGAAACAGGGGGGTATGGCAGATAATTCCATCAATATATTTTAGATAATTTTTTTGCACCTGTTTAAGGTAGGTATCAAATATGATCTCCTCTGTAGGCAAAGCTAGTTTAAAAAAAGTAATAATGCTAGTAAGGATAAAAATAAGTGCTGTCATCTTGCTCAAGGGTAATGATTCGTTTTGGTAATGATGGAAAGACAGGTCCTGAGGAGACTTCCCTCTCTTAACTGGAGAGAAAAGAAGTATTAATGTCACACCATGCTCACCCTGAAGTACATTTAAAGACACTGGAGGAATACTGATATAAAGCAAGTATGCAAGAAGAGACAAGTCTTAAGATTTATGGCATTCAGCTTCTGAAGTCTGCCATATACCACGGAAACCCATACCCAGATCCATGCTGTTTACACCATTTTTCTATCAAAACAATACATTTGGTTTAAAAGAGACATTTTTACTTTATAACATTACTTAGCTATAAAATACATAATCAGTATGATTCAGACACAGAAAAATATGTCCAGAATTTCCCTCAGTGTTCATTTTTGGATTAATAATACAGTTTTTATGGGGTTTTTTTTGTTTCTTCTTCTCCTTTTCTCAGACCATTTTACTGTGGGAAGATACAGAACTGGATTCTATCAAACTAAAAATCTTAATGCTTTCCTTTTCTAAGGTGGTGTTAAACAGGAAGGCAGGAAGGAAGGAAGGAGGGAAGGGAGTTATCTCTAGGAGCTCAGCTGTCACTCTATGATAATCTGGGGAAGCAGAGAAGGATTAGATTACACAATTAAAAAGACTAATGACAATGCTATAGAAATTACCACAATAATCCACAGAATGCTTAAAACTGATGCTTTGTGACAGCTGGAGAACAGAAACTACTGCCATGACTTAAATAAATTCTCTGTACTTATGTAGCTGGACTGTGTTTTCTCCTCCAGAAACAATATTCAATATTTATCTCTTTTCAGTATGCTAAATGCTTTTAGATTAACTATTCCCTTCAGGATAATGAACTGTCTCTTCATTTAGTTGTACTACTCAACATGATCTTTGAAGAAAAGAATATAGAATTTATTAGAGGCAACACTTAATTCTAGGTCAAAGTCACCATTATTAAATGTAGAGATATCTCCAGCTGACTGATTCCTGTCAAATTTGCCATCAGATCTTTTATTAAATATATTTATCATTGTTCAATTTCATGCCGACTCTACCTTCATCACCAAGACAAGAATTCATTCTTTCTCCCCTTAGCTGTCAAAATCAGGTGTGAGTCTAAATAGCATAGAAAGTAGAAATGAAAAAATGCAAAATTTTATCCATTATTTGATAAAAAATAATGTGCTTCAAAAACGTAACTACCGTACTTAAGTAACTGAAAATTATCCCAGGGAAACCTGGTACTGTGGTCAAACCAAACAAGAAATTGCTGTGTTTTTCTTGCAAAGTTCAAAGGCACAGCCATTCTCTAGAAGCTTTCAAAGCAAAAAGCTGTTGGATTTTGTGAGTAAAAATGTGTTAATTTTTTAAAATTATTTATTATTTCATTTTTTTTGCTGGATTTGATATATGTGCCTATGGCAAGTGTAAATGAAACTCAAGAAAATTGCAAATCTTCTTATATGTAGACTTCACAAATCATTATGCTATTTTGATACCTACTTTTGACTATATCATCATCTTACTGATTGCATCTAAAGCAATCCCTCAATCTCATATTGATTCCTGAAAAAAGAATGACTGTCTATCAGTGGGAAAAAAGCTTTCCATTTTAATATTAAAACTGTAGGAAATATTTAATGAGATGCTGTGTACTTGAGGCCAGTATTCTAAACTTCTTTACTAAAACACATTTTCAAAATGTGTATATTGATGTAATTATTATTTGAAATGTGACTTCACTACCTATTTAGTGTATAGAGATGAGATCCTGAAACACTTTAATACATGTGTAACATGGATATTTCCATTAGAAATCAATGTGACAACATGCATGATGAAACTTAAGCACATGCAGAAGTGCTTCCTGGACCAGGGTTTGGTGAGCAGGAAACCAATAACAGTGATAAGAAATTCCATCATCTCCTCTGCTTTCACAGAGCAGGGTAAGATAAAGGGGTTTAAAATGCCTGTGTCCCAGTTTTGCTGGCGTTCCCATTTTTGCTGCCATCTGGAAACAGGATGTTCAGAAACTCTGCATTAATGGCAACTGCACATACTTAATAGGCTGAACCAAGTTGCTCATATTTGTTGCATGCAGGCAAACCAACTCCTTGTGCATACAGTGTTTGTTCAATGACATCAGTGTGGATAGATTAGAAAAGACATGCACCCATCTAACAGATCTATCACTCATGCTTTTATCTTCCATCTCTGCCAAATAGATTAAATTGATCTGTAAGTGGTACATATAAAACTATAAATTATTTTCATAGCAGAGAGATAATCAATGTATATAATTTTGCTAAACACGTTCCATCTGATGTATCAACATAAATATTAGCATTATAAACAGGAGCTTTACTGTGAGGAGCTACTCATCACTGGTACATATTGGGCAGGCATTTAAAGTCCATTATTTTTTCATCAGTACCTGTCTTTCAGTGAGGTCAAGATTTACTGCTATCTCATATCTTCTCAGCCTGGTCAAATAGTTATGATGAGCAAATTCTGCTTCTAGCTCTCTGATTTGCTCCTTGGTGAAAGCTGTCCTTTCCTTCCTGGGTTTACTGTTGACCTCTGTCTTGTAGTTTCCTTCTTGGGAATCTGAAAAAAAAAAAGGCAAAAATTGATGTAATGTAATGCCAAGTGTACAGCTAAATAGAAAATAAGCCGAAAAACAACAAGCTAAAGTTACATTTTTCAAACTTTCTTCTCTCTGAAACACACCCTTGCTTTCATTCCTATGGATCCTTTGCTGTAAATCAGGAAAGCAGAAGTAATTCTGGCAGACTTGAGCTGCTGCTTCCATTGACACACATCAAACTTTATTTTAAAAACTTGCAGTGTTTCATTTTCTAACAATTCTCTGAAGAATTTCTGCAAAGCTTCAATTCATTCCCACTGCTGGCAAGTCTCAGTGCATCCAACCAGTACAGGATGTGTATCATTTGATTACTGTATAATGAGTAATACCTCAAGAATCTCTCTCCCCTATCTTTTCACTAGTACCTTAAGCCAAAGCTGTTTTACAGCTTTAAGGTTTAGTGTGGTTACACTTTCAGGGAAAGCAACAGACAAAGCATAGGAAACTGAACACATGTCAAAAGAAAGTTGGTCCTATCCCATGTTCCATGGGATCTCCTCCTCATGCTATAGTGCAGGTAGGAGCCTTTGGCACAGCTGGTATCAGTATAGGAAATTTGCTACCACTGATGCTCATTACCTAAGGGATACTTTGGCCACAATAAGAGGAGCTTTGCTGAAAGTTTCATTATCACCCTCATAACTCCTTTTACTCTCAGAAACAGGTATATTTGGTCCTGACCCAAACTACTGAACTCAGTAACTCAGTGACAGTCATTCTATTGCAGTCAGTGAAGTCAGCTTAAATAAATGAATGTTCAAACCATAAGGAAAAAAAAAAAAGAGAGAGTGGAAAGAAAAAAAAAAGGAAAGAAGAAAAAAAAAAAGACCAGACATTTGTAAGTTTGAGTATGATACAACACCTATAAATCCAAAATTAGCAGGAGATCAGTACAAGTATCATTAGTCAAATTCTGGCCTCACGAACCATCTTAAAAATGTCACAGATTAATTCACACTTCAGCTGCTGATTTAAATAGAAACGTGCATCAACATCCAAATGAACTGGCTCACAAAAAAATCCCTCCCTGGGACTCTGTGTCAGATGAATCATCAGCATGCCTGAGCCTGTCCAACTGGCCAATGAGTCTGGTTTCAAATCTACATTTTATAAAGGTATAAGAATATTTTCACTTTTTGTCAGTGACTCTGTTACTTGGAAGGGAACTTTGGTGGTTTTGAGTTGTTTTTTTGTTTGTTTTTTTTTTTTTTTATGAGAACTGTTGATTCTTGACTCAGTGCTATAGTCAATAATTTAAAATATTTTAAAGCTAATGTCTGCATGGTGCCAAACCTCTGCTTTTGCTGACATGACACACAGAACTTTGCTTCAAATGTGAAATGTAGTGCTGGCTGTATGACTGAGAGTATCCACCAAAGTTGTTGAGTGTATCTGGGAGTTGTTCAGCCACAAGTACAGCAGGGATTTTAGGACATTAGATAGCTGGCCCATTGACAATAGTGTGGGGTCAAGGTCTATTTCCAAACTAGACATAGAAAACTTGATATTTCAAAACCACTTTACACCTAGAAATTAACATTTCTTCCTTTATACTAATAGGCAAAGTAGAGTCACTGTAACTTCTCTCCATGTTTTTCTGTTTCAGGAACATGCACATTGTTTTTTTTCCTTTAAATTTCTCTGTCTGCCATCCCATTATAAGGTCCAAACACTAGTAGATCACCTGAATTTAAATACTTAAACCCCTAAATCCCCATTCCATTGAATCACTGAAGAGACACACCTAAATCATTATTCTTACCATTTTGGCTAACCATTCTTATACTGCCAGATGTGTTTCATACAGGTTTGAAAGCAGATGGGTGTGCATAGTCATTATGTGCTGCATGACGCAGAAATTAATTTTATGCAAATAATTTCTAAAATCCTCTTATAACTGTCGTGGTCATCCTGTGCCTGTGTGAGGCCATGAGCCAAGAAGTCTTCCCATGTCAGTACTTGCTGTAAGAAAGATCCATGGCTCACTGCTTTCCAGACTAGAGGCTGTGTCCTTAAATAAAAGTAATGTACCTACACATGACACTGATACCATATGAAAGATAAAATACTGGAAATGAAGACATAAGTCTGGATACACAACAGAAAGAGGGGTCAAGGCTATAAAACCTTGGTAGCTACTTCTATTGTGAATATTTGAAGGGAAAAACTTAAGGAGTACTCATCCAAATGTCTCCCAGGAAGACACTGATCTCTGTAAGTGACTGAGACTTGTAACATGAGCAATTTTGGCAAGCAGATGGCTCCTTGAGGAAAACGGCTTTGCTGTACAGCAGAAAATGGTTTTTTTGTAACATTCAGAGCCAATGGTTCTTGGGATACTGAAAAGGGAAGGGGAAGAATACTGGGATAAGGAAAGGGGAATATACTAACATTAGTAGCATATGTCCATCATCTTTGCCAATAGAGAGGGTTCAGACCTGCTATCAGTGTTAGCCCATTCAGATCCTGTGGAAGTATAAGCATTTTTGGACTATTGGTAACTTAGACATTTCTTCCATTGCTGGATACTACCTTTAATTCAATGCTGGATTCTAAATGCCTGACAGCCATAGTTTTGTCAGCAGTAAGATTCCACCAGCAGACTGACACAAGGGAAAAGTTGCAGGGTTTTATTTGTTTTGAGAATATTATTGATTGGATTTGTAATAGTGTAAAAACCATGGTATATTCAAATACTACTGAAAGCAGAAATTGGAGAAGTACATAGAAAACTGGGACAGGTACAGAGAGCTGACTCCCTCTCAATACTGAGGTAATGCAACAGAGCAACTGGAATCCCAGGAAATCTATTTCAACAAAAATACAGCCAGCAAGACAATGGTATTTTGCTTAATGCATTTGAGATATTGAAAATATATCTTAAAAGAGACTTAAATGGATACTAGTTAGGTAATCATGAGTCTCTTGCTGTCATCCTGCTTGCTGCAGTGTTGCTGTGGTTCATGTGCAGGTTGCCTTTTGTGTCCTGTTGATGTTGTACTGCTTGGAATTTTAGTTTTAAAATTTGGGGTTGTTTTAATTTCCAAGGAGAAAGAATCTAAGTTTACTAATTGGTTGTTGTTTTTTTAACAGTCTCTATAAAGCCAAGATTGGGAACTCCCATCTCTTTCTGACCTTCAGGACTCTGTTCATATCACCTGACTAGCTTCTCTTTGGTGGAAAATGGGTGGGAGACTTGGAAGAGATTCTTGGCAGAACTCACGTCAGCCTACATCTGTTTTGCAGCTGTTGCAACTAAGGCAAGAAAAAGGTCCCAAGAACCTTAGTTTTCTTCTACTGGCTACATCTTATGCCAAGTGGTAGGTGTAGAGGCAGAGAACAAAGCCTAGGGGGAACTCAGTTAGACTACTTGCCTCTCAAAAGGCACACATAAAATACATACAGATGGTACTAACCACTTGATGAAAAATACAGTAATCTATATTGTCTGTCTTCCGCCTTCTGCCAGACAAATTCTGGCACACTTTCAGAAGATGTAGCCTACACACAGGTATTTGTACCTTATCAGTCTCTCTTTTGGAAACCTTTGTTCTTTAGATGTCAAGTAATGTAGGCAGTTAAACACTGCTTTGAGGGATGCAGGTCATGCCTTTTCTTAGAACTGTTTTTATCACTTTTCAAAAACTCCAGGCAGCATCTTTAATATCTCCTGTTAGACAAAAATACTTGTTGGTAACTGATGTAAGAAAGTACTGTTTGGAAAGACATTCAGAATTAAAAATGGCTGTTCCACAAATCTTTGAAGACTAAGATTTTTACCAAGTTTAATAACAGCTCAAGATTTATTTTTTAAAAAATCATTCCTAATCACATTATACCCCACCCTCAAAAGTTACTTCTGCTTTACTTTAAGGAATGGTTTGTTCTTAATCCCAACATTTGTGTTATCCCATCAGAGTTCCTATTTCCTTCTTTCTGCACCAAGTGCTGAAGCATGCCAAGCAAACACAGGATCAAATTCCTATAGAGTGATAATTTTGATGTTTTTACTTCTGATACCTGCCTAAGAAAAAGAAAGACTGATCACAGAACATTGAAAGAGACTGGTGGGGATATCTATGGTACCAAGATCTGCTAGTAACCAGGTAGGGTCAGAATCAAAGGTAAAATGTGCAAGAAACACCTATTTTTTTCTTGGATTGGTTCAAGAGCTGACATACCTTCATTTCTCAGACAGAAATGAACATTCACTTAATACCGGGAATGTAAATCCCCAGACAAAAATTTTCAAAAATTAATCAGATTGCTAGTGTTCTATTGGTAGTTATAGAAGGTTTTCAGATCCTGATATCCACACTGAGAGTGAATAGTGACAATAACCACTAATGACTTTTGACAAAAAGGCCATAAGAATGTCACGTTTATTGCTCAATATTCAGGCTTTAGACTTTCACCTAAAGTCTAAACGTGCAACAGTTCCCCTTGAAAAGCCCCCAGCACTAGCAAACAATTTCTAAATTTATTTCACTATTAATTGATAGTGAAGTTGGATAAATTATATGTCCTTAATTGTGTATCTTCCTATAAATGATAATCAAGAAAACAACTACTACATAGGCATCTACTTTGAAATGAAGCTATCTATGCAAAGTATTAAAAGCAAAAATCTTGCTACTTCTGAGTATTTCAATGTTTTATGAAACAATATTTCTTTCAAACATAAATCTTTGACATTTGTTTAAATAACTGGTATGTAACAAAACCTTCTAGAAATCAAAAAACACAATAATGATATGTGATTCAATTAAAAATGCTTGCTTACTTTTCTTTTTTCTTTTGAGATATGAGCAATATGAACTAAGGAAAAAGTAGCAAAGAGATGGTGCAAAGGTCTCCATATGGTTCCTATTTTTTTGCCAGAAACTACGTGTGAGAGCAAGATTTACCCAGAAACAGTCACCTTCAGACATTTTTGACATTTAATACAGAATATTATTAA